TTTATCCCTTTAGAACCCGCGTCTTCATTTATCAGACGGTATCATTTTCCGAAAATTCGAACATAAAAAAATTCCAAAAAATCAGGAACCGGCCTGCGTTTTTTTGACAACAGATTCTTGTTCGGGAGGTTCGAATTAGGGAAGGGAGCAATTTTCGGACAAATCTGGATCCGTTTAAGCGAAATAAGTTGATATGACCAAAATCCAAAAATTTTGGCCATAAGAAAAAATTTGGTCAAAAAAAAACGTTTCCCAATCTACCTGAATTTCGGTTTCTAGACTAATTCCGCCTCGCCGAGTTCATTTCTAGCATCAATTCTTTAAAATATACAATATTTTAAACGAAATCCTTTTTAACCCATACTCAAAAACCAAATTTTGAGTTTAACATTCCATAATTCTGAGATTTGTAGTTCCGGTTTTCACCATTGTCTTTCTTAAAGTCTTCCAGTTGCATTGGTTAATTTTTAGGTCGAAGTCTTTATCCCTTTAGAATCTGCGTTTTCATTTATCAGACGGTATCATTTTCCGAAAATTCGAACATAAAAAAATTCCAAAAAAATCAGGAACCGGCCTGCGTTTTTTTTTGACAACAGATTCTTGTTCGGGAGGTTCGAATTAGGGAAGGGAGCAATTTTCAGACAAATCGGGATCCGTTTAAGCGAAATAAGTTGATATGACCAAAATCCAAAAATTTTGGCCATAAGAAAAAATTTGGTCAAAAAATAAACGTTTCCCAATCTACCTGAATTTCGGTTTCTAGACTAATTCCGCCTCGCCGAGTTCATTTCTAGCATCAATTCTTTAAAATATACAATATTTTAAACGAAATCCTTCTTAACCTATACTCAAAAACCAAATTTTGAGTTTAACATTCCATAATTCTGGAACCGGCTGAGATTTGTAGTTCCGGTTTACACCATTGACTTTCTTAAAGTCTTCCAGTTCCATTGGTTAATTTTCAGGCCGAAGTCTTTATCCCTTTAGAATCTGCGTCTTCATTTATCAGACGGTATCATTTTCCGAAAATTCGAACATAAAAAATTCCAAAAAAATCAGGAACCGGCTTGCGTTTTTTTGACAACAGATTCTTGTTCGGGAGGTTCGAATTAGGGAAGGGAGCAATTTTCAGACAAATCGGGATCCGTTTAAGCGAAATAAGTTGATATGACCAAAATCCAAAAATTTTGGCTATTAGGAAAAATTTGATAAAAAGTAAACATTTTCCGATCTGCCTGAACTTCGGTTTCTAGACTAACTTCGGCCCGCTGAGTCCGTTTCTAGCATCAGTTATTTTAAATTTTTGATATTTTAGACCAAATTCGTATTATTTCATACTCAAAAATCTAATTTTGAGTTTGATGGTCCATAACTCCGGAACCGGCTGAGATTCTTGTCTCCAGTTTGCGTCATTCGCTTTCTTGAAGTTTTGCAATTACTCCGGTTAATTTTCAGGCTGAATATCTCGTCCCTTTAGAATCTGAGCCTACACGGTGTCATATTCCGAAAACTCGAATATTAAAAAATTCCAAAAAAACTCAGGAACAGGTCTGTAGATTTTTTGGCACCAATGGTTCGAATTTGGAAAGGGAGCAATTTTCAACCTAAATCCAGAAAATTAATGAAACTATTGGCAAAAAAAAAATATGAAAAAAGAAACTTCAAAAGGCTAAATAAGTATTTCAAAAATTGTAAATACAGATGAAAGAAAATTTGTACTTAAAATAGTGGTTCGAACGCCACATAAAGTCGGATATAACGAGAGAGGAATATCACCTACACTTTTGCAACAAAGTAGCGATTTATATCAGCCACCAGAAATAGTAACTGGTGACTCAAAAACTACAAATCTGTTCCACCTTTGGAAAACGAGGCACGTGTTTGCGCTTATCCGCCGCTTTGAAGTCGGGATTCTTGCCTTTTAACCCGAATGGAAACGGGAAACGTCCAGCCTTTAATTCAACAACAGTTGCGACAAAAGGGTAATAATCCATAAAGCTGCAGCGCTGCACCCCGGATCCAATGAATTAGCAAACGGGAGCCTCTTTGATCTGACTTATAAAGGATTTAAAGAAAAACGGCGCGCCGAGAGAACAAAAGGACATTTTTTATTCGACGACAAACTGCGAAAAACCCACGGTCTTCGCTGGAAGTGAATGAGAAATTTATTGGAGTTCTAGAGGTAAAAAATTAAAAAGGTGGTTGACGGTTAATATTCCCGTAAACTTGACATTTCGGAGAGCAATCGCCGTTCGAGTGGTCTTTTTTTAATCGCAGAGGCGTCTTGTGGAGATTAAAGTTTGAGAGGTTCGACGAGATTAACTCGAGGGCGGTTCTTGCGTTTTGAAAACAGCAGGAGCTTACTGCAGGCGCGAAAACCAGCAAATAAAGTACTCGGATTTAAATTTAGAACGGTTTAGACGAAAATTAAGACACCCTTTGAACGTCGTATTACAGTTTTCAGAAGGTATAGATGTGAATGGTTGGTGAAGAATCTGGCGAATGCTGAAAAATTAAAAAACCGGCTCGTTGATGTTTAATATTTGCTTAGATTGACGTGACGGGTTCCTCTAGAAATGTTCTTTCTTTTAATCATACCGGGGTCTCGTCTCGTGGAGATTAAACTTTGAGTGGTTTCAATAAGATTAAGTCGGAGGTTTTTTCTTCGTCGAACAATGGGGGCTTGCTGAAACACACTTGTGTGGTGAGGGTCCTTGAGAAAATTAAATGTACTGCGAACGAAAAACGAGATATCGTGCAGCTGTATCTTATTGTAAATTGTGAAAAGTGCACCAGATTTTGGGGTCGGGGCAAGCCCGGCGTAATAAAGGGGTACTTCCCCGAGCACGTAGACAATACACGGACATAAATACGAGGCAGACTTGGTGTCTCCACGGTGCAGTAGAGTGCAGCAAACACTCGTGACGTAGCACCCCAACGTTTTCTTTTGAATTATTTACGCGGTCTCATACAACCGGGAAATTTACGACCTCACGGTTGGCAATATGGATTAGCGCGGGGAATTCCCGACGAAATCGGGCATTGGAACTTTCGTGGGTGTAAACAGTTTTCCAATAAATTACCCGACTTCCTTCCGTGGAAAAATTCGGGCGCAGGCAAATCCGAACAAAAAGTCGTGACGTTCGGACGTCAAATTCCCACTTCGGTAAACATCAATAACTACTTTATCTGGACGCGTCGCAGCTGACTTACCGGAAGTCGTCGGACAACGGCCATCTCGTTGTCGTTCTCGCATGGTCGAAACCTATTTCCCGAGACCAGACGTGCTGGCGGAACAGCACACAAAACAGAAAAACAAAAAGACCGGAAAAAAGTCAGACGAAAAATCTGCTTTCCACGGTCGCCTCCCTAATCTCCTACACACTCGAGTAAGCTCGCAAAAAATAACTTTAATACTCGTTTCGGTCGACCAAGACTCCAACTTCGCAGATCGAAACAAAAGCTGATTTTTCCAACTCGCATCAAAGTTCGGGGTCATTAGCGGAACACGTGCCGAAACAAAGCTCCCGGAAGTTTCATCGTGCATAATCGGGGGGTCACTCCCGAATAAACAACGGGAGAGTCGGGAGAGACGTTCGGCTTAACCCGAGTTTGATAAATCGCAGTTTTAAATGGGCGCGATTCAAACGAAAGAAAGATGTTCTTATTTTAATTAAAATAATTTGTCTTGATTCCGGCTACATCGACAGCGCCGCGACGTCGCTAACTTTTCCAAAAAGTGCAGGAAATCGGATAAATCACACTTTTGTGCCGACATGATCAATAGGAAGCGCTCCGAGTGTGTGCCACGTGAGCACATTTCACAATTTCCGCACCGTCAAAGCGTGGCGAAATAAGATTCTGTTGCGTCTTAAATTTTGTTTACTTGAAATTCGCTTTAGAACTTTTCCGAAATTAGCATGAAATAATGGAATTCTGGATTTGCAGCGCGGGAAGCCAAAGAAACCGATTCGGAATTCATATTTCCGAAAGGGGAGGCTTCCGGTAATGGTCCCGGTTTCCTGGTGGAGATTGTGAACGCAAGAAATAGAATTTTGATTAAACTGATAGCTGGGGTTACAAAAATTTAATTCACAAGCTACCTACGAGCGAAGTTAAAACGTCAAATACCCATTTGATGCCATTTTTGGTGTCTTGGTCACCACTAGAAGCACGTTCAAGTCCAGTGGGGCACCGCGCATGCAAAACAGCGCACTCGAAAAATTTTGGTCACCACAATACTCCCCACTTACAAGTAAAAATGAAACAATTTACGTGAAATTCAAGCACAGAACTGTTATTATATTAGTCGATGATTCAACCGAATTAAAATAAAGCGTGCACGACCTAAATCCTCACATGATAGGTTCTGCTGCACCCGCAGCACATTATCGGCCCCAAATTATCCAAATATTGAACCAGTAGTTAACCTTTCCCTTTCACCAGTGAACGGTGCAGCTCGATGGAAACTACAGAAACATCCGTTTGTTCGTTCCAACAACGTAATCTCCCTCTACCCGAAGTTCGCAGTTCTTGTAAAATCCCGATTGTTTCCCTAAGCGTTGATTTCTGGCTCTGCGATTACGCTTGCAACTAGTTTCTGTATAATTTCCATCGACCTGACCCCTGATTCCCGAATCCAGAACTGACCTGCATCAGGCGCAGAGGGTACGTCGAGGGATACTCCTCGTCAATTTCGGTTTTGTAGACCCCTTTGGGGAAAAGCGGGGGCAAATCGTTGACGTCCTTAATGTGGATGACCACCGTGGTATAGTTTTCGTTCAAGCTGTCTGATGCGACCAGGGTTAGCTCGTACTACACATGCATCACACAAGGGGACATACACAACATGAATGCACATAAATCTAGCGGTGCTGGGAGGCGGCGGCCGAGCGAGGGCCCGGGGTGCTCCAGGAATGAGTCTCGCTCGGACGCCCCCTCCGACATGCAAGGAGCTGCGACGATGCGTCAAACAACACAAACACATGCGAGACACTCGCCCTTAGCACGCTCTTGGGCAAATTCCTGTCGTCCTCCTCCGTTATCTGCGTCCTGTAGGTCGGTCGCTCGAACACGGGCGGATTGTCGTTAACGTCCTTGACGTGGATCACCACCGTCGTGTAGTTCTCTTTGAGGTTATCGGACGCGGCAAGTCGCAGCTCATACTGTCGCAAAATCTCGGTTTAAGTCTGAGGACGCACGGCGCCGAAACGTCGGCACTTGATACGCGGTAACGAGATTGACGGTATACCCAACAGCTGCACGTGCCATTGTCAATGTGTCATAGACAACGGCCCTCAACACGCCCAAACAATAACGCCATTGTGCGGGCTGATTGGAACGTCTGATCCCTAGGGATGTACTAATCACGTGGCTCATTCACCGCTCGGACGTAACTTAATAGTGAATCCCAGACGGAAAACAAAGCTCGGGCCGATACGCGCCCGGATTTTCCGAAATGGACGGCCCTTTGTGAGCCAGATAAGCGAACGCGACGTCTCCCATATCAATCATGTCCGCTTCATTGAGCGCCACAATTAGAGGACTTTCGCTGCACGCGAAGGGAAAGCGAAGATGGGACCCGAATTAAACATGAAACGACGAATACACAGGCTTCTCCTCTTCGGACAATTAAAAATCACCCTCCTGCTTAAGGAACACGTTTTACAACCTTGCTGCACTTTATTCGCGTGTGGAATAATTTCATTTACGACGCCTCCAGAGTTTGTTCTTTATATAGCATGTTTCGGTCTTGTAAGTCTTATTCGACAGCAGCAGCTTTTATGAGCTGCAGCACTCCCTTATTTCATTTTATTACTTACAGTAGCCACTGATGTCAACAAGAAAAAAATTTTGGCCACCACAATACTGCCAACTCAAATGTAAAAATCACATCTACGGGTTCAGACGTCGTACAATCGCACGCAAATGTTTTGAGCCTATGGGCGGATCGTTTTTGCCTGCCCTCACCGAAGAAGGCGGTCCAAATCCTTCAAGGGCAGAATTTGTAGGTAGGCTCAAACTACAACGAAATTCACATTTTACCCTATAAAATTGTATTGACAATAACGGGACGGACAGTAGTTATATATATATATATATTTTTTTTTAGGTAAGAAATATTTATGGCTCACACTAGTTCTCTCGAATTTGTCGGAGAAGATTTAGCAGGTAGTTGTTCCCATAAAATAATAGTCATAACATCTTTCGACCAATTGTTCCGTATAAAAAATTTCATCACTTTTTCAAATAAAATACTCTTAAAAAAAACGACATTGTCGTTGAGTGACATGTAACTGGCATAATAATAAAAACGTGCCATTTTGTTAACTGATATTTTTTTCATAAATGTCGCAAAATTATTAAATTTGTCTAATCATCCCCACCAATAATGTGATGACGTCACTTCAAATTTATGCATAGTAAATGTCCAGATTTTTGGAAAAAAAATCAAAATTATAAAACAACATTTTGCAATTTAATTTTGAATTTGCAAAATCGAATACCTTGAAATCTTGCAGATGTTTTAAAATCATGAAAAACATGATACATTTTTAATTAAAATATATTTGCTTATCCTCTCTAAAAAATTTATGACGTCACCTCAAAATTTTGCAGAATAAATCCTATCTTAAATGTATAAAATATGATGAGTTTTATACTTGTGATTTATCACTCCATTAATATTTTTTAGATTTGGTTATACAGGGTGTCTCAAAAAAGTTAATGACTTTTTGACCTCATTTTCAATTTATTTTATTGAAGAAATCAAGAATAGCAAAACTGAATACTTTGAAATATTGTAGATGTTTTGAAGTTTTTGTAAGCAACAATATTTGATTAATCAAATATGCGCAAAATCAAAAATCGGAAAAACTGAAATCCACTAATGTAAAAAACAGAAAATCGAAAAATACAAATCGTAAAAATCGAAAATCTAAAAATGGCTAATCAAAAAATCGAAAATTCAATGAAGGTCGATCGAAAAGTGGAAATTCACAAACCTCAAAAATCGAAAAATCGAGAATTGAAAAACGGGAAAACCAAAAAATCGAAAAGTCAAAAATTTGTAATATTGAAAATTAAAAAAATCAAAAACAAAAATAAAAAAAATCGGAAATTAAAATAATCAAAATATATAAAGTAAAAAATATTGCAAAGCCTAAAAACTGAAACGAACAGAAAAATCGAAAAAGCAAAAAATTGGAAAAACAAAAATTCGAAAAATCTAAAATAGAAAAAGTGGAAAATCGAAAATCTGAATAAAGAACTTGGAAATTCTGAAAATTGGAAAATCGAAAACGAAAAAATCGGAAAGTAACAAAATTGAAGTCTAACAGTTGAGAATGGAAAAATTGAAAAACCGAACATTCTAAAAATCGACAATGGACAAATTGAAAATCGCAAAATTTTGATATTGAACATAGAAAAATCGATGAATTGAAAAATCGAAAATTCGACTACTCAAATTTTCTAAAAATCGAAAAATCATAAAACTGAAAAATCCAAAATTCTAATCATCGAAAGTCTGAAAACTGAAAATCGAAAATTCTGAAAAGCGGAAAATAGAATATCGAAAAATTTAAAAGAAAGAAAATTGAAGTCTAAAAACCGAAGAATGGAAAAATTAAAAATCAAAAATTCGAAAAATTCAAAGATTTAAAAAGAAAATCGAAAAATCAAAAATCTGAAAATTGAAACTCGAAAATTTGGAAAATCGAAAAGTAAAAAAATTGAAGTCTAAAAGCTGAAAAATGGAAAACTGAACAATCGAAAATTCGAAAATCAAATATCGAAAAATCGAGAAATCGAAAATTTGATAAATCAGATATGCGAAAAACAGAAAATCTGAAAATAGAAAACTGGAAAATCAAAAATCTAAAAATGGAAAAACCGAAAATCGAAAATTCAATGAATCTAATATGTAGGTCGATCGAAAAACTGGAAATTCACAAATCTGAAAAATCGAAAATTTGTAAGATTGAAAAACCGAGAATTGAAAAATCAAAAAACCGAAAAATGGAAAAATCAAAAATCGAAAAATAGGAAAACCGAAAATTCGAAAATTCATAATATTGAAAACTCTAAAAGTCGACAATTCAAAAATCAAAAAACTGGAAAAAAATAATCGAAAAATCGAAAAGTAAACAAATTGCAAAGCCTAAAAACTGACGAACAGAAAAATCGAAAAATCGTAAAATCAAAAAGTGGAAAATCGAAAACTGGAAATTGAAAAATCGAAGATTGGAAAATTGAAAAATCTAAAATCGGAATATCGAGAATCGACAAATTAAAAAACCTAAAAATCCGAAACTAAAATAATAGAAAAGTGGAAAAGTAAAAATTGCAAAGTCTCAAAACTGACGAACAGAACAATCGAAAAATAAAAAAAAATCGAAAAATATCTAAACATGGAAAATCGAAAAATCGAAAATCGGAAAATGGAAAAACCGAAAAATCGAAAATCGAAAACTCGAAAATTCGATGAAACAAATACTCGAAAAAGCGAAAAGTAAAAAAGTTGCAAGGCCTAAAAATTGAAAAATCAAAAAATCGAAAAAATGAAAATCGAAAAAACGACGATCGAAAAAAAATCAAAAAATCGAACAGTGGAAAATGGGAAAGTAACAAAATTGAAATCTAAAAGCTGCAAATTGCAGAACCATAAAAACTGAAACAAACAGAAAAATCGAAAAACCACAAAAGCGGAAAAACGAAAATCGAAAAATCGCAAATCGAAAAATCGTAAAATCAGAAAATGGAAAATCGAATAATCGAAAGTTGAAAAATCGAAGGTCGAAAAATAAAACAACCGAAAAATCGAAAAATTTTATGATTAATGGAAAATCGAAAAATCGAGAATAGCATAATTAAAAAACCGGAAAATTGAAAAATCGGAAATCGAAGAATTAAAAACGTTAAATCGAGAATTCAAAAATCAAATATCGAAAAATCGAGAAATCGAAAATTTGATAAATCAGATATGCGAAAAACAGAAAATCTGAAAATAGAAAACTGGAAAATAAAACAACCGAAAAATCGAAAAATTTTATGATTAATGGAAAATCGAAAAATCGAGAATAGCATAATTAAAAAACCGGAAAATTGAAAAATCGGAAATCGAAGAATTAAAAACGTTAAATCGAGAATTCAAAAATCAAAAAAATCGGAAAGTAAAATATCATCGAAAAAGTCTAAAAACTGACGAACAGAAAAATCAAAAAATCTAAAAATGGAAAGACGAAAAATCGAAAATTGAAAGAATGGCAAATTAAAAAATCGAAACATCGAAAAATCAAAAAAACGAAAAAACTGAAAACTCTAAAAATCAAAATACCGCAAATTTGAAAAATCAGAAAATTAGAAAGTAATAAAATCGAAAAGTTGATAGAAAAATGGAAACTGAAAAATCTAATTCGATGAAACTGTTGGTCGAAAAAACGAAAAATCGAAAATCGAAGTGACTTTTTTTTGAGACAGGCTGTATAAGTAAATCTAAAAAATATTACTGCAATGATAAATCACAGGTATAGACTCATCATATCAAATTTTACGATGACGTCATGCATTTTTTGGCGAAGATAAGCAAATACATTTTGATCGTGGCTTTGAAAGTATTCTTCGACTTTCGTTCCATTTCAAAATTTACTCTTTGTATATTTCAGTGGTCACAACGAGTTCACTAACTATGCTGAAGTATGCAAAGAATAAATTTGTCACCGAAAAGATGTCGGAAGTAATAAATTATCCTATCGGTCGAAGAACGTTCGGTCCGGTGTTACACCTCGACCCAAGAGAGACCGCAGTAAAGGATAACAAATGGAAGGGATAAAATAAAACGTCAAATATGATTGACTTTAAACCAAAATTAAGAAGTTTATAAACTGAACATTTTTTTTGCTTTTTGAAATGTAGTACACTTCAAAAAATGTCTGTGACTTACTTTAATGTGAATTTTATAACTATGGTCGGCACAATTAGACCTAATAATAGTGTGATTTTGAGCATATTCTCGATGTTATTAGAGCAGGACAGGTTTTTTTTTCTAACCAATTGACAAGATTTCAAAGTATTCAGTTTTGCAATTCTTGATTTCTTCAATAAAATAAATTGACTCAGTCATTTTTTTTGAGTCACCCTGTATGTATAAACAAATCCAAAAAATATTAATGGAATGGTAAATCAAAAGTATAGACTCATCATATTCTGAACATTTTAGATAGGGTATTTATAAAATTAAAACTAATTCAGGGTAAGAATTTGGTCAACACGTAAATTTCGCTGTAGTTTGAGCCTACCTACAAATTCTGCCCTTGGACGATTTGGACCGCCTCCTTCGGTGACGACCGGCAAAAATGATCCGCCCATAGGCTCAGAACATTTGCGTGCGATTGTACGAGTGCAGAACTCACTATTCTTCCTGGCAACGACTTCAGGCTTCAGTTCACACTCCAAAACGAGTTTAAACTGGCCAATCAGGGCCGAGTTTTCTCCACATGTTCGGCGTCGTCCTTGAGCTGTGTCGTGTCGCGGTTCAATTACCTTTCGGTGGTGCATGTCGGGCACGGGACATTTGTTTAAAATAAATTGATGCTTAATGTTACATGAAATTGTAAATAAAAAATATGTGCGTTCGCGAACCATTCTCTGGAGTCAATGGGCTGGACGGATAAGGAGTAAGCAAGCCGTTGCGTTCGGCGAATTTTCTTTGTTATTTATGTATGGAGAAATAAACATTTGTTCGGGGAGATGGTACGGGAGTGAGGTCGAATAAGACCGTGAGATGCTTTAAATATTGATTGCTCCATTCGGAATGTAAATAATCGACGCGGATATCCCGCAAGCGCTAAATCTTTGCGTTTTTACGGGACGAGAAGCCCGCTTATGGCTCATTCGGAGTAGCAAGGAATTTTTTATGTCATAGGGTGTGATAAATTCGGCATTGTCAAAGTTTAGCGATAAAATGCATGCTAAATCTGGCCAGTGGGGCGTGGAAGTAGCCGATAACTCCTAAAAATAGTTGCAGTAAGTGAAAGTCCGGGCTGATGGATCGTCGCTAAGCTAAAAGTGGCAAAACTATTAAGAGAGTTAATCGATGTCGAGGAATCGTGATTTATCCGACGCGTCAACGAGAATAATCGCTTCACTTGCCAATTTAAACTTTCGAATAAGTCGAAAAATTCCGATTAACTGCAATTAAGCCTCACTATTTCCACGTTCCGACCGAACAACTAAATTCTGTTAATCCGGTCTAAACTAAAAGCACAGCGCCGTTTATCGATTACGTCGGCCCATTTTTCTCTACTCGGAATTTCTTTGGGGCACTTAAGGCGGCCTCCGCCGTCATCTTATTAAATTTCTTTCGACATTTGCTGTATCGCCACGGATTATCCAAAATGTTGCTCATACATATTTATTATTTTCCTTCAAAGCTCCGGTTTCCCATTTCGGAGGTCGACACATTTCGAACAAAAAGTCGTGCTGGCTTTACACATTTTTTACGCGCAAATTGAGACAAATAAATTATACATTCATCCGAACGATCGTTTTGGTTTTATTCATGTAAGATTTTTTAATTCGTGGAGAACTCATCTTTGGTAAAAAGCGGAGACGACAAGTTAAGTTAACAACGTTCCTGCCTCGAACATGGCCGACACATTCATTTTAATTAAACGTCAGTGAGGGGGTGGGGGAGATTTATGGCTGCCACGTGAGTAGGGATGCATTTAATGCGAATACAAGACGGTTTTGGGACTGCGAGCATATGTAATTAGAAAATTACCATATTCAATTAGCAAGATTGCGGTTTGTCTCGTCGACCTTTAAACAATGGTGGGAACATCGCGCTTTTTTGATCTTCTGATTTATGATTCTCGGTAGGTGCTTCTTAAAATAAGCCCGCATTGCTCCTTATCTACATTCCGCGTGATTGCACTCTGAGCCCATTCAATTAAGCAATTACCATATTTAGTTTTGTAAGCTGAAATTGGATCTTGACAGCTGATTAAAACGCGAAGTTTAAAAGAATATGCCCCTCGTAATTGGAAAACCATCTCATCATCTATTCCAGTTACGGGTATTCCGTATGCATTTCGTAACGTAAATAAATCTCTACCTACCGAGAAATCATATATTGCTTCTGATCGAAATTCTACATGAGTATGAGCGTGTGTACTTGTCTATATTCTGGCAAGCGTTGTAATTTAATTCTTTCTTGACGAATCCCAGCAGCTGCGCCATTTTTGCAGCACTTCTTCAAATAAGTCTAGTCTCAACCTGGTTTCCACTATCTAAGTTCCACGTGAATGCATCGTGCGCACAATCTACTAAATATTGCAACTTGACTGTCTCATTTTACTCTCTAACTAACGTCGAAATAAATCGCATTGTCAAAAAGCATCTCCCGATCCTTTAAACATTTACCGAATCCTACCAGCTGCTCCATTTTTATGGCTCCCGGTGTGCATTTCTTAAACAAGACTTCTCGTTGCTTCCACATGTTTTTCGTTATCTAAATTCCACGTGAGTGCATTGCAATCCCTAAAAGCATGCTCTATTATCTGCCAAGTATTGTAACTAAGTCCCATTTTCCTCTTTAACAAACCCCGAAATAAATTACATTGTCAAAAAGTATGTTAAGATCGTGCCGAATCCCACCAGCTGCTCCATTTTTGCGTCCTCGGTTGCACTGCAAGTGTTCCTTTACCCGCTTTTCATTATCTAAATTCCGCGTGAGTGCAATACTTTACGTAAATTGCATTTCGGCCCCGAATATCCTCGGAATGTGTAATAAACCAGAAATACCCCCCATATTTTTGCGGCCGCAATCCGCAAACACGGCACAGATCCTGATTTGCTGGCGACTAATCGGGGTCGCAAATTGTGCATTTTTGCGCGGATTTATTGATACGAACGGCTGGGATTCACTCCGACTACGACACTCTCAAATTAATCCGGACTGCGTCAAAACATCAAGGCTTGTTGTTTTAGTACTTACCCGTTTTCTGGTCTCGTAATCCAACGCTCCGGCTACATAGATAGCTCCAGTCATGTTCTTGACGGCGAACGCCCCACCTATGTTACCGCTTGTGATCTCGTATCGAATACGGGAGGCTGAAAGGAACGAGAGGATGTTATTACAAAGCACACAGCACCGTTAGCAGTTTCAGTTTAATTAAAAAAAAAAAAACGTCATCAGTCAAAATGCATGACCTCAATACTTATTCTACCGCAATTTGCGTAAATCGAATTCAAAATAGCGCCCGCATTGCGGGCAAGACGACACCGTTTTTATTATATTTACAGTACCTAAAGTTCAAAGGTTCAAACTAGGGCGGGTTATTAAAGCGCGGATAACGGAGCAAGTCACGTTCCGGTTGCAAGTGAGATCTACTTAGCGTAATGACGTCATCGGTGTTTCGGAGGGGGCGACAAATTCGGGCCATCAGCGTACCATTAACTCTAATATCTTTATCTTTATGAAACGATATAGGTGTAATCTGCGGCGCTTTGTCCTTTTATAGAAAGAGGCGAAGTGGAATTGTAGAACGGTCGACCGAAAACACTAATCCGCCCCTGTGGGTATTTAACTCCGAGACATTTTTATTGCCCATCGTCGTCTTCACCCAGCTGTCTTATCCCTCATTCCGGAAAACTGATCTCCGTGACAATAAAATTCCAATCCCGTTTAAAACTGGAAACAAAAAATCCTGCAGTGAATTTAGCGGCGTTAGCCGCTCCCGTGGAATAGTTGGCGCTTTGTGGTCGACTCATCCGTAAAAATGAGTAATTGAGTGCGGAGAGGGCGAAACCAGGTTGCTTTAGGCTTGTTACTGCTCGGAGTCGGGATAATTTCAGAAGCTTTTAGTATTACAAGACAGAGCCGTGTTCGAGAAGGCTGCGTTAATTGATAATTTAAATAATGCGAGTCCCTTCGGCTAAAGCCCGCATCGTGAGTCTAACGACGGTCCGGAAAAAAATAGACAGATATCCGGATCCGGGCGGATTATTCGGCGTCGGGGGACTCATACATCCGATCGGATTTAATGACGATCGCTAAACCGGCAATAATGACAACAAAGGCCCGTGACAGCGCGTACGCTGACGGATCATAAAGCCTTTTTTCGACTAAGTGTGGATGCCGGAGTTCGACGCTTAATAGCGTTAGTTCGATTGGAATTTTCTCAATAATATGTGATAAATGCGAGGTCTCTCGTTGAGGAAATTGCCAATCGGCGAACGAATATCTGGTTAAGTGGAGACATTAATTGAGAAAAAATGGAGATATTGTCGAAAATGGAACCAAACGCGTGTCCAGTTGGGATAGGGTGGCACGAAGTTGATGAAATAAAAATAATCATAATGGGAAAGAGAGTGCCAGACGATGTATTCCATTACTACGCTATTCCCAGCTTGCGAAACTTAACGTTAGTGTAATTAGCGAATTCACCTTTTACAGCTTTATTCAATTTCAGTTAAAAAATTTATTTTGTGATGACCCCTATAAGCATGCTAAAAATTTTGGCCGCCACAATACTCCCCACTTAAAAGAAAAAATCAACCGTAACCTTTTCCGTTCGTGTTCAGAAGCAATTTGACACTGGAAAAGTTGAATGGGAAGCAGATTCATAAACCACAACTACACAACTGTGCCGCCTTTCTGGAAAATCCACCATACTAGATAAAAAGCGTCACAGTTATGTAGCTGCAATTCATTGTGTTGCAAACTATAAATTACAGCTAAAAACATGAAGGTTAATGAGAAAACTCCTAAAATAAATCAGAGCACAATTCCGTACCGTGTTGTAATGGTCTAGTTCCAAAGTTAAGGAATGTTTTCCTTGTCACCAGACGTTTACTCCAATAACGTAGATTCATAAAAGCATCCTAAAGAAAGTTGATTTTAATATTTACGGTAGATATCCATCTCGAAAAATTGCTCTTTGTTTAAAATTTGAAACGTTTCCGTACTTTTATCCCGTAATTGGCAAGCCATGTCGCTGCCTAACCCGATTATTTATTTCTTTATTTTCCCGATATGATTGTAATCCCCGAAAACAAAGAAACCGGGCAGATCTCATTTACGATAAACTCCATAATTTATCAAACTCATCCTCAAAGTGGCACACCAGGTAAACAACATCCACTTCAGACAGTTATTATTTTCATCGTCGAATTATCGCAACAGAATGCAAATCCCCAATTCGCAGTCCGGATTAAAGCAACTCCGACCGAATTTAGCGGAGTTAGTTGAATAGTTCTCCGTCGAATTGAGTGAACGAGAAAATCTGCCTGATCCATATACTTGTCTTCGGATTACGCGAATAACCCTTTTCCTAATCCGGCGCCTCTAATGACGAAAGGACCGTCAGTGTGAATTGACCCGGGCTAAAAGCGTGCCATCAATACGCGCCGTTTTTCCCCCCCAAATTCGTTAGGCGACAATATTTACAAGATATCGTAACACGACCGAAAAGGGCTTTGAATCCGGAATTTTCACCAGCCGAATTCACTCGGTATGCATTATTCAGCAGTTCAGAATGTGACTTTCAGGGCCGAACTCGTGCCCGGTGTACAGCCGAGCGGGCTGATTTGTAAGGAGACCCGAATCACTGGTTTTAATCCGGCCGGAGGGATGAATGGATGGGCTAAATAGAGGTGACTGAAGCGATTTTCGCTGATATAAATACGACACAACGGAGGCGGCTATTTTGAGTGAAAGGTGCTGGGGCGATCTCCCGGTCCGAGATTATTCGCGGGTTTTGTCAACGACGCACTCAAAAAAGAAAACCTGACGCGAATAGATTTTAACAATTGGGGTTGATAAAATTCACTTGCGACTCTTGTGTCCGGACCTAGTGAAAACGTCGCGCTTTAGATTAGCGTAAAGCCTTCAATTTGTCTCGTAGTGTATTAGACGAATTGCCGCCATAAAACGAAACACATTTTATCCGCGCACTTTTTTAGCGCGCCGCTCTTTTAAATTCCCCCTTCGTATCCACAAAAAGTCCGTTTGTGATTTATCACCTACGGCGCGTAAAAAATTACCGATAACAAAATTGATGGATCGTGGGCTAATCCACACCTGATCTCGCCGGCCACCTCAACCCGGCAATCCAATTAATAATTAAAATGGAACGCATTCGCCGTTCTAAATTATGAACAGCCACTTTTGCGCGTTAACGCTGATCTACGGCATGTAAATTCCCGATAGGATCGATGCCTGAGCGACTACCGCGCCTACACTAAACAATAAATAGCGAATCCCGCCCTGAGCAAAACATCCTTAATTACAGCCGGAGCTCGTTATAAAAATGGTGGATGCGCCGGGATTCATATTCATAATGGGTAAAGTTGCAACTTCATTATCTCTAATGACGACCCTGTTGCGTCATAATTATTGTTATATTTAGTGAGTGATGTGATTTACGAACGTGATGGGGCTGTTAGCAACTCCCTTTTCGTGACTCGAGAAGTAGAAATGATTGATGTTGTGCAAGGCGAAGCGGGGTTTTGCGCATTCTGGACCACGGAAAACGTCTCCATTACGACGAGTTTTGTTTAGTAATAATGATCAATCGCGGTGGATCGTGCCGAGGGGGTTAAGTAGCCAAATTTCGAGCTGAATGCTGGAAGTGGAAGTGAAGAATGAGCCTCAAACGCACAAAATTGACTAGCAAAGAATCATTTATTTATCGTTTGCTTAGGCCTGGATTGATCCATTATCCCGGACACTTCAATCAGATTCGTCAAACATTTTAAGGATTCCAAATCATTATGAAAAAAATATTTTTTTCGCTCGGAACGACGTCCCTTGGTTGTAAATAATGATCAATCGCTTTGTTTCCCGTTAACAAGCCTCACCTACCCTAATAGTTGTCCACTTTGTTACCACAATGGCTCAAACCGAGCGCTTTTACGATCGTTAAGCCCAGACGTGGTGAGTTATACCAATTGAAACTTGAGCTTGAGACGGTGGAAATTTGAATTGCATGTGAGTCCCGACGGTGACGTTTATCGGAGCTATTCCGGAGTGTCTGCAATCTGTTTCGTTTATTTGCGGCCGGCGATTTGTGCCGAAACGAATTCAGGGGATTTTTTGAACCAACAATCGTGGAGTATTTTTAGTCGGGCGCTCAATCCTTGTTGATTATTATTTCAAGGACTGTATGCAAATCCGCGCAACAGTTGCAGCCGGAGAGAAACTTCGATGGCGGAGAGCATATGCTATTCAGGTAATTACAACGGTTGTGGAAACAGATGTGATTCGGTCGGGAAAACAGGGAAACCTGCATTAAACACCAGCTCTGATGGAGCAAAATGAATATGGAATGCAAACAACAACAGAAATGGGAGATTGGATGAAGCGCACCATCGGAACATGATACGAGCTGTGGGGAATATCAGGGAGAGCTGCAGCAGGATGGTGCTACTGCTCACTAAGCGAATATTTATCTATAATAATTGTATGGACACGGTAAACGAACACATAGCATTAGTACCTAGTTAGATAAAGAAACGAGTGTTCGGATGAGAATACGTAGTACAATTGTTGTCTTACGCGAAGCTTGCGTTAAGCACAGAACACACACACTGTTGACAAACACATTTTAAAGTAAAAAGTGAATATGGAATGCAAACAACAAGCAGAAATGGGAGATCGGATGAAGCGCACCATCGGAACATGATACGAGCTGTGGGGAATCAGGGAGAGCTGCAGCAGGATGGTGCTACTGCTCACTAAGCGAATATTTATCTATAATAATTGTATGGACACGGGAAACGAGTACGTAGCATTACTACCTAGTTAGATAAAGAAACGAGTGTTCGGATGAGAATACGTAGTACAATTGTTGTCTTCCGCGAAGCTTGCGTTAAGCATAGAACACACACACTATTGACAAACACATTTTAAAGTAAAAAAACACTAAACTAAGGCTGGCAGCTTTCGTTCATGTGCAACTTTGACTAAGTTTTCTTCGATTTCGCGGTATTATTGGAACGAGGTAGGAAAATTCACACCAACTACGAATAAAAACTTGAACTTCGTTTGCAGCACCGTCTCATTTAAATTCACAAAGGGTGTTTGAACAAACCGAGTTTTAAGGTAAAGT